GCTTATGCCACAGATCATATATTAATAAATTACATATATTAATAAATTAATAAATTCCAATAAATTATTGAGCAGATCTGGACAATGATATTATGTAAAAGCAAATGCAAAACTCGTGAGTATGTAGTTACACATTCCTTCTTTGTGCTGGATCACTGGCCTGACATCCTGAATAGTTGCACGTGTGTTTATGACTTGGGAGACCTGAGTCAGATGGTGTGATGATTGTCTCACTTCTGTCCTCATTTGTGTTTCGTTTTCTGATGGTTTTGCCTGATTAAAATGCATAGATTTCTATTATGTCTGTATTTTGAAATATATGATGATGGTCAAAAATCCTGATTTTTATTTATGAGATAGAACTTAACAAAAAACAATGGAAAAGAAATGTTAATCCCTGCTTTTCATAGTCAAGCATTGTTTCATTGAAATGGATGAAATGCAACTAACATATCGGAGCCTCTTCATGCTCCAGGATAAAGGAGCTTAGTAACACTATAAGAAATAGGGGCAAAGAACTTCAGAAGATTGGGAAATGTTTCCTTTTGCCTCAGGAAAAATATATTATTCAGTGACCTCCACTGTGCCTGACTGAGCCAAAACCCATCAGAGTCGTGCTCAGGTTGCATTTCTGTTGAAGTGAGCACAGGCTGTATTTGCATAAGCAATAGACACTCAGTAGGTATGGCCACGAGGAGAAGCTGGGTAGGTCACCAAAATACCTACTTCACTGGTGGTTGTCCAGAATATCAGTTCCAATTGTGTGTTTGCCATTGAAGCATTTATGTCAGGCCCTCTTTGGCATTAGAAGTTTAGCCACTCCACTGCTGGAAAAGATAAACTTGGATTCTTTTGCTCTTGCCTCCTTGATGTGTTTTTTTTTTCCCTGCAAAACTGGGGAGATGATTGCTGGTATATGCATGGTAATAAAGCTTGTCAGACACAGACAGTCAGAATTCTTCTGAATTCACATTTAATTTATTCACGGCACAGCATGCAGCAAAGCTGATGGCAAGTTAATGTGCTGCACTTTAATGAGATATCTGTTTGCCTCCCAGGTTTTGAGGTTTTTGCTAGTTTTATTTATCAACCTGGCCAAAGCCAAAGCCATAAGGCATTACAGATCTACACTAAAATATTTTATTTACTTAGCTGATGCTTTTGCCAGAGGAGAAATCGGTGAAGTAATTAAATAGTGCTGCTTTTATTTTAGAACAGACATGGGGTCTTTTTGAGTATACAATACGTCCTTCTCAGTGTTGTGGCTCACAAATACTACCTAGATCAAAATATTCCATTCACAATTTCCCAGTTTTGATGTAATTAAATTTCCACCTGTCTTTGAAAATTGACCCCCTCATTCTCTTTAGAGGTATATATTTCAGGGGAGGAGAGACGGAGGGAAAAGTGTAGCAACTCTGTAGTATGAAACGCAAATGCAGAAATTTCAGTGTGACAGAGCTGCAAAGTCTCCCATTAAACAACAGATGAGATGGCTCCACTCAGGTTTTGAAATCTAGTTCATGCCAATTGAGTTCTTGTGTTACAACTTAGTCTTTTAGCAATTGCAGTTCCTCCTCATTAGCTAATTACTGCATCAATAATGAAAAGAAGATGAACCTTAGTCAAGAAAATGATGTTGTGATGTATCACTAATGAAACCATTTCTCTCACACAGTGGGAGCATGCCGGGATCGGGCTGTGGATGGCTGTGAAATGCCAGCCCTCACGGGTCTGCCAGCCCCTCCCAGGGTGGGTGGAGAGGAGCGCAGTGCGTGGACACCATGTCGTACAGCCAGTCTTGCAGTCTGAGCTGCGCGTATCAGTGTAGGTGTCCTCTGAGAGGCTTGCGTTAATTTCTCTAAAGCCAGTTAAAATGTCATTTTAAGTCTTGCTAGTACTCATGCCACTCTTCGGTGGACTCGGAGTCCGACAATGTAGATTGTTGGACTTGATGATCTTCAAGGTCTTTTCCAAGGTAAATGATTCTGTGATTCTATACAGAAACATTGTTTCTGTACACAAACGAGGGCTTGGAAAAGGGTCTTTGAGACGGAGCTAACATCTTTTGTGTGTGTTAACCTTTAATGTCTAAAACCTGTCAAAGTGAAGGTCAGACTGACCTTTCAATTCACTGTTGTACCTTTGCATTATGTTTTCTGCAAAGCTAAAACCACATTTTGCAGTAGGAATACAGTCAGGTTACGAAACTGTGTAGTTATCTTTCAGTTTTGTGCACCCTTTGTGATATAAGCTATTGTCTCTTTGGCTACAAATGCATAAATAAATAATTATTAGGAAATAACTGATAGATTTATGGGGAAATGCAATTACAGGCTTTAGTTGAAGTGTGCCTGTTGTTAGGTACAATGTTCTCCTGTTTCTTTGCTGCTAACAGAAGGCTGAGAGAGTGGAGAGGAATGGGGAGGGAGTGTATAGGAGGGGATATGCCACTGAGCATAATCAGTTTTGGGAACAAGGACAATCAAATTTTGTCCAGCCCTTTGCTGAGAGTCTTCAGGAAAATACATGCAAGGTTTATATTTGGAAATATCAAACTGTGTTTGGCATTCAAGTCAGGTAATGTAACCCATAGAAATCACAAGATTGAGCCAACCTTCTGTGCGTTTCTTCAAGCAAATTAAGAAAATGTTAATTTCAGATGCTGTGCAGGTGGAAAGATGCACATAGACAAAATATCATCACATTTGCCTATCTGTAATGCTTTTTATTTATAAATGTCTTTCTTTTCTGTTGGACCATGAGCTGCCTGTTAAGCTGTGTGTTTCCCCTCAGATGCCAATATCATGTCAAAAGGAAAAGTTGTGCATGTGAGCCGGGATGGCTGGTGGAGGTCATTGAGGGAGAGGGGCTCTGCCTTCCAGCAAGTGCCACCTCTGTACTAAGGCAGTTCACACATCCTCTGGGGTTTCTTTCCCATCTGAACAATAGAGCCTTTGATATCAGAGCAGTCTGGAGTTTAGTAGTTATTTACTTGGCAGAGAAAAAGGCAAACTACTGCCACAGACTGCCAAGTGGTGCTACCTATATTGTTAAGGGCTGGCATTGAGTCTGTTGATCAAGCATTAATGGGATTAGCTTAATGAAGAAACTTATGGTTCACAAAAAAATATTAAAAGTTTAAGAGGTTTAGGTTTTTATTAGCATCCTTCCTTTCAAGAAATCTTTTTAATGACTTAACTCCAAATTTGTGTCCAAAGGTGTTCAATGTAACATTATTGTTATTTTTCTCAATGCATTTATAGGGTTCCAGGATTACTTTGTTGCTGACAGTGGGTGTTTTCATCATATTAATAAGATTTTTTTTTCTTCTTTTGTCTATTACCAAATTATTTTGCCAGCATTTTAGGGTTTGCTGTTGGTTCTGTTGCACTGATGTTTTTTTAAGTGTTTTGAAACACTTTTCTTGTTTCAGTTATTTCCTGTGGAGTTGAGTTAGCTGAGTGAAACAGATGACTTCTCAGTGTTTTAAATTCTCTACTTAGTTGTATATAGTAGTTAAAAATGAATAATATTTAGAGGTTGAGGGTATAGGTCTTCTGGGTATGATGTGTAAATTTGAGAACTAAATGGTAATGTGGCTTCATTTTTCTTCATTTTGGGCAATCTCCATTCAGACACCAAATTCAGTATCTTCCCTTATTGCAGCAGTTTCCTTATGACTGTGATAGTCCCAGGCACACAGAAAAGGTAATAATTTTTGATGACCAGCGGCTATAATTGGAAAAAATTGGATAAACTTTTAGATATAGAAAACCTTTTTCCAGGCCTGAAATGGAAGCAGCAGACTTCAAGCTAAGTACAAAAATACAACCTGACACTAATACTAGTGCCATCTAGGAATATATGCACTCTGAGTAGCTCAGTCTGTGAAACTTGAAAGTGTAACTGTCTGGATATCAAGTGGATTCCAACCTGGATTGTGCTAAGCATGTTCCAAAAACTGCTTTCCCTCAGCACATCAAAATCTGGGCGCTGTTCTCCTGTCGTGGTGGGAGAAATACCAAGACAGCTTGTGTAATTTTAGTTTGTCTGACAGAAAGTGTTACGCTGTTTCTCACCAAGGATGTAACTTACAGAGAGCACTCAGATGGGGTTTGTGGTGGTTCTCTCTGGGCTGTGTAAGGCCACATATGTTCCTTCCTACACACTCACACACAGCAAACATGCAGAGGAAGGGTGCATTTCCCGCGGGTGTTTTTGCAGGACCCGTAGCAGCAACTCTGGTCTTGTAGGCTCTCCCTCATTTTGTCCTTGTCCACACCTCCCTGTCCACAACGTCAAACACAGGGTGCTCAGACCTGATTTTAGAACCCAGCTTGCCTCAGCCCAACAGGTTAGTCCTGGTAGCTGTACAGGGCTGGTTTTTGCTGCATCCTTGTATTAATGACCCCTACTCTTGAACCTGAGTCAGCACTTCCCACAAAGCACCATCACCTTTTCTCCTGTGCTTTTCTTTTGTATTACTGTGGGGGAGAACACTGTTTGAGAATGAGAGTTTTTTTTCCAATCAGGCAGCCACTAAGCTCCATGCCACTGCTCACTCACTCCCCTGCCAGTGGGGTTGTGGAGAGAATCAGAAGAGTAAAAGCTGGAAAACTCATTGAATGAGGTAAAACCAGATTAATAGGGAAGGAAAAAGCCACACACACAAACAAAATGACACAAGGAATTCATTCACCACTTTCCATGGGGACGCAGGTGTTTGGCCAACTCCATCACAGGTAATGAAAGCAGCTCTCCATCACAGGTAATGGTTATTTGGGAAGACAAACGCCGTCAGTCCAAACATCCCCCCCCCCCCCCCCCCTTTCTTCTTCTTCTCCCTTACCTTATATACTGATTATGATCTCATGTAGTATGGAATGTCCCTTTGGTCAGTTGGGGTCATCTGTCCTGACTGTGTCTCCTCCCAGTTTCCCATGCACCCCCACTCTCCTCACCAGCATGTAAGCACTGCTCAGCAATAACAAAAACATTCCTGTGTTATGTCTCTGTAGAATTTTCTCTGATTCCTGTCTTGAGCAAGGCAGATGTGTTCCTTGTTGAGGGCTTCTTCAAGCTATCCCATACAAATGTAGCTACTGTAATTGTACCTCAGTGAGACAGAAAAGAAGTAAGACTCTTTGTTCCTTACCTATCTTCCACAGAGGGGGTTTCAGGGTTACAGTTTTAGACTTTAAACTTCTGAATTAAGTGTAGATGGACTGTAAATTCTTTCAAAGTACAAATTCCAGACTCTTGAGACCCAAAGTTGCCCATTAATAACACAGGGATAATATTTCCCTTCCGTTAAAGATGCATTCATTAATAGTAGAGATATATATGCTGGGATTCATCTCACCTAATTTTATCTGACTGAGCTGTTTATTCTCATTTAAGGAGTGGAGAAAAAGAATCACCTTCACTAATGAAGCATCCTAACTTATAAAAGTCACATATATGTGAACAGGATAAATACACTCCAGAGGTCCCTCTTTGTCATCTCAGAAGGAATTTAAATGACCAGTGCTAGTTTAGATGAGGCTTAATTTTAAGTGGTTTCAACTGGGTGAAGTAGATGGTGTGTTAAACGTGGACAAGCTAAGTGAATGTTCTTCTGTGTGATAAAATTAAATACCCAATGAATTGCTGCTCTTGCAAACAGAACCTTGTTCAGATGGAGGCAGTTTTTAGTGCTAGAATTTTGTCATGATTTCCCAGTTTCTGATTTTTAATGGTGAGGATTCAAATCCATCCTGAAAATCTGTAGGTCTAAATATCACCATACGGTTGCAGGGGCAAAATCATGAAAGCGTATCTTTCCTTTGGCTTGGTTTCAAACAGGGTGACATCATTTTTATCAAACTGCCTCTATTAGTTCTTTAATTCAGCAAACAGAGATTGCTAAGTAAGGTTCCTTTTCCAGCCAAAACGTCAATCAGAACTGTAAGCTCTGCAGAGTACTGTACAAATTAACATTTAAACATCGCTATTGTAGTAATTATTTTGAACATCTTTTTTTTTTTTTTATGACACTCAGAAGAAAAGGGATGACTTGTCATTGAGTTTCCAGACTCTAATTTTCTCCCTATATAAGTGCGCTCTGCCGAGATCTCTTTCCCTTCTGGCTGTGCAGTGTTTCTGTGCTGCTCATACCCAGCTGGGAGCTCCCTGTCTTAGTTATTGACCTACCACAATAGAGGCAGGAAGAATCCAAACAGCCTTTGTATATGTGGTTTGAATGTTCAGGGGATCTGATGAATAGACAAACATATGATTTGACTGCTAGGGAGATGATTTGATGGCAAACAAAAGGTCACATACCAGCAAAACTGTTAAATGGTGGCATGAGAGTGGGACTGCTGTTCTGCTCCCTATTCAATTTCCTCCCACACTGGGGGCCAGATTCTGCCTCCACTGCAGCTGCTCTTGCTGCATGGGATTCAGGAGTTTTTTGGGTGATGTGCTTGTGTGAAGGCACTAATGGAGTACACAGCAGACGAGGGTGGAATTCAGCACGGATCGTAATCCTCCTTACGGGCTGTTGATGTGTGGCATCATATGCAAACCCATGCCTGGCACCTGCATTCACACTTGCCTCATCATCCTTGAATGTATCATTGACTGTCCAGAGTGTAGTGTCCTTTTGTGCCTCTGCTCTTGCTTCACTGGTGAAAACCAATCAGTGCTATGAAATCTGGCTCTTTGTGTGCAAATAATTGGACCATCTTTTTTCTGGAGTTCTTCAAAGGATGCTGACTTGTGGAAGAGGGAAACAATTAGTGTTTCATGTGGATTTGTACCTCTTCACAGATGGGTATGCAAGTAAAATGAGGCAAAAGGTGGAACATATCTTCTGCTTTTTGGGATAGCTAAGTACCTGGAGCGAGAAATTCCTGTGCTTCAAGTGCACTTCAGCAAATAAAGAAGGCATTGTATTACCAGTCTCTTCTCAGGCAAAGTAACTTGCAGTTCAGAAGCTTTTCTTCTCAAGGTTTTGTGCTGATTATTCCTTTGGCTTTCACTAACCTGCACAAAGTTTGAGTTTTGTTATTACTACTTAGGGAAGATTACAGTTCACCTAGAAGATTCAGCAAATTCATAAACTCTGCACTTGATAACTGAGCTCCAATAAGCCTTCCTGGAACAATGCTTGTAAGTCAACTGTGGATGTTGAAGAACTATATAATAATGAGATCTGAACTTCAGTAACACCAACAGCTATGTCACTATTATAAAGGGTAGAAATCTTTAATTTCAGTTCTAAAATTGTGTTTCTTCAATAGCAGTAGTACTGCATGTTGTAGTTAAGCACCGCCAGTCTTAAAACTGTCTGTCTCACTTGGAAGATTCTAGTTGTCATTGACTCACAATAATAGACAGACTCCCACAAGTCAAGGTTTGAAAGGTCTTTGGAAACAGAAAGATAGAAGGATACATTCAAAGGGTTTTTTAAAAGAGCTGAAGATTAGTTTCTATGTCCTGTTGAAATGTATTTGAAAAAAAAAACAACTAGTCTCTATAGCAAAAGAATGATTTTTTTTTCTTTTTTCTTCATTGTAATCAATGAACAGATATTTTAATACTTTTACCGAGTAGTTTGCAAGTGACTTTTAGGAAACCAGAGTGCTTGAAGTGGAAAACAGGTATGTCATAATTCATTATAGGAAAAAGTAAGTATCTTTCCTTTTGCATTAATGAATTCTGTAAGATTTATGAACTGTATGTTCATAAAGATGCACAACTGCTTCAGAACAAATGCATCACAATTTTTCTAGACAGTGATTATAATTTGTGAATTAGAGCTAATTAAGGTATGTCAGTAACATAATGTAAAAAATGGCTGATTACCGGTTGCAGGAAAGATTTTGGAGCTTCCTACGAAGTTTAATTTTGGTGAGTATATTTAGATTTAAAAATGTGCCCTCTGATAAGAGGTATTTTATTCTTTGTTTATAGGTCAGTAATGTTGTTAAGAACAGAAGATTACAGCCTAGGTGTTTTTCATAGGTGAGGAATAATTTTCCATGCAATTACTTTGATACTTTCTTTTTAAAATATTGAACGTTTTAACTGTGTGCAAGGGTGAGTGGTTTACAGTCATGAGCACAGCACAAAGCTGAACTTCTGCCCTCCTCTGTTGTGTGTGGGATCTGTGTGATTGCTGATGACGCTACCAGGGCGGAAGGGGAGGGCAGTGTCCTCACAACACCATCTGGAGCACCGTGTGCCTCTGAGCTCCGAGGGTGGAGTACAGGCTCTGCAGCTGCTGTCATGGCTGTTTCTGGCTGGATGAACCGGCAGCAGTGCCAAGAGGTGCCTGGCTGCCCATGGTGTGCAGGTTTGTGGGGTGAGGGGCAGCAGTGCAGCAAGGTGGCTGTTGTGGGCAAGAGGGACATTCCTGTGGTCCGTGATAGGCATTAGCAAGAACATGGTTAAGTCTTTGACTGAGTGTGTGTTTGCACCAAGCAGTGCCCCAGCTAAAAATCCAGCAATACCTAGTTCCTATGTGGCACTTCTTACTAGGAGAATTTTAATGGGAGAGGGTGTATTAATACCTCAGCATTGTAGAAATGACTGTTGAGCAATGAGGAGATTTCCACCAAAGCTACGTGCTGAATTTGTCTTCCCCACTGCACTCTGGATCACAGCTGTGTGTTGGAGGGATGGAGAGTCCTGGGAACTTTGTCTTCACATGCTCCAAAGCTTTAGTGATATCCCAGCAGTAGGGCAGTTCTGTATCCAACAGAGAAGTTAAGGTTGTGGATAAGCTTTTTAAACAAAGTTAAATGTGAAGATCTTGGTCTCTTGCCAACTCGGTCCTCTTTTAGGTAACTGAAAGGGGCTTTTTCCCAGTACAGCTGCTCCTAAAAATAGTAGGCAGGATTTTATTTTTCCAAATACCTCAGTTACTCAAAATTTGCCAAATTACTGAAATTATATATATGTCTATAACTGGAGGAAAGGCAAAGAGGAAAAAAAGTAAAACCAATAAAAAAAATAATGGTGCAGCTTTGACAGTCTCCTTGAAAACCAGCAGTAGCAGCAGTGTTGAACAGCTGCCATTGTGTTTGGCAATGCAGTGGGTTTGTTAAACAGAGATGCTGTCTGCTAGTGCCATTTTATTAAATAATTACTTAATGATTTAAAACAAAGGATCTTCTTCACACAAGCCATTCACATCCTCTCACATCTGGGTTGGAAATGGACCCTCGCTATGGAATTACAGCAGATAACAGTATTTTGACTTCTAAGATGTGAAAGTGTCCCACTGAAGCCAAAACACTGTCAGTCTAGGTGGACTGCAGTCATTGCCATGATGTTAAAGAGAAAACATGGCTTTTTGGGGGGCACATTCAAGACTGAAAACATTCCATATTTGGGTGATTTGAAAGGTCCTTAAAATACATTTACTAATTTGTAAGTTTTGCATTGAATCGCAGAATCATAGAATCAGCTGGGTTGGTAAAGACCTTTGAGATCATCAAGTCCAATCCTTGATCCAACACCACTGTGGTTACTAGACCATGGCACCAAGTGCCACATTCAGTCTCATCTTAAAAACCTCCGGGGACGGTGAATCCACCACCTCCCTGGGCAGCCCATTCCAATGTCTGATTACTCTCTCTGTAAAAGATTTCTTCCTAATATCCAACCTAAACCTTCCCTGACAGAGCTTAAGACCATACCGTCTTGTCTTACTGATAGTTGCCTGGGAGAAGAGACCAACCCCCACCTGGCTACAACCTCCTTTCAGGGAGTTGTAGAGAGTGATGAGGTCTCCCCTGAGCCCCCTCTTCTCCAGGCTGAACAACCCCAGCCCCTTCAGCCTCTGCTCATAGGACTTGTGCTCGTGCTTAACTTGGAAGTTAACTTTTGAATAGGGAGGATGAAAACAATTGAAATCAGAGGATGATGACAGTATCCAATTACATGTTAGGAAAATACCATGAAATGTTATATTTATATAGCATTAGTACAAAACAGCTAAACTAATAATTGCTTTTAAAGACACAAGCATATCCAGCGTAAATTAGATGTATCCTGAGTCTGGGCAAAGTACAGATCATCTGTCTGTTCTTTCAGTTAATCAATAGTACCACCTGTGCTTTTTCATTGACTTCTTAATGCTAAATGGTAAACACTAACAGCCAGATCTGCAGTAGTCTAAATTGGCCTAATGGGTCATTAGAGCTGTACTGATAAATGCCAGCTGGGAATCTGGTGTGGACTGTAGGCTGAAAACTTAGGAAATGGAATAGCATAAACACTACTTTATAACTGCTTTAATTAATTTCTTGTAGTCCTCTGTATTGTCTAGTGGCTTGTTTGACTTCTCTGTTGAATAAAGCAAGGATAATGTTAGCAGCAAAGAATGCAAGAAGAACTGGATTGAAATCAGATTAGTAGGTGTTACAAGGTGTTTGATGGAACTGTACGTTGATTGATCGTGTGAGCCTTTAAATTGCCTCTTCAGTGAGGGTAGAAGAGATGTGTAGAAGACAGGTATTGAGAGTTTGAGTTCTCTCTGTTCTGTCTCTCTTTACTTGACTTCATTCTTTTTGCAAAATGAAATTAATAGTATCTTTATGTTCCTGGGCCAGAGAGGATGTGCACCAGGTGATGCGGAAGATACATACATTTTGCAATCCTACCTAAGACTCTTTCAACAGTGGCTCTTGTAATGCTTACCTGTCTTACAGTGTGGTGGTTTGTTTTGTTTGTTTTTATTTGATCTACAAGCTAAAATAGCATCCAGGTGTGTCCCATTTCCTGCCTGTTGATTGAGATTGATACCTCTGCTGTTTTGCAGTGTTTTATTTTCTGTTCTTTTGTGATATATCTTGGAGTTTATGCCAAAAATGAAATTAGACATATTTGTAGCTAGGAAGATTATTCAGAGTTACAATTAAAAGTGGGAAACTTTGGAAGTGGTATTATTAAACCTCATATTTTAGGCCTTAACTTTATTCAGAAGTCACATTGTGAACCTGAGAGACAGAGGGGGTAGCAGATTATCCCATACCTCTGTCTGAAGGGCTCTTAAAACTCTGCTGAGTGTAGCCTCTCGCAGAAGGGGGACACTGTCTCATTGCAGTGTAGCTGGTCTGACAGTGCTTATCTGAACCACGCTGAGCTTCGATAGGATTTATTTTTAAATCTCCTGTTTGGTTGCAGGGAGATGATCTGCCTATCCACACCTCACAGTCAAGCAGTAAAAACACAGCTCACTTCTGTGTATATTTCCATTTAGCAGTGACCAAATAAATAATTTTATTTAAATATGTTCTCTGGGTTCTCCTTTTCCAACAGGGTGCATTTCTCCACTGTTTGCACCTATAAAGCCTCTTGGCTCATTGTCTTCCAGTCCTGGTACCACCTTACAGCAATAGGTTATTTTTCTAGCATTGATCCAGGGTTTTACAGGTGTTGTAGTCACTTTTCTTCATTCAGTGTGCAGCAAGTCACATTTTTATCTTCTGTATATGTCCTAGAAAGGATAGTTTACAGTGGCTATATGTGACTGGAGGTCTTCCATGAGAACCTGACTAGCAAAGCATGGTGCAAGAAGGGGCTGAAATACATGCATAGTTGGTGAATTCCTCAAGTTCAGGCTTCAGCTGCTTAGACATGTTTTTCTGGACTTTGGCAGGGAAAAAATGCTTTGGCACAGGTGACAGTGTTTTCGATTTGCATCTCAGGGTCTGGGGGAAATTGCTTCACTATTTTCCTCTAGTGCACATGAAGTCAGACTTTACATTGTCTTTGCTTATAGTGGAAGAGACTTTCCTTGCATGAGAGAGACTGCTTTTAGAGCACCTGGTCTCAGGAGACATGTCTTGCATTCAGCAGAGTGGCTAAGGGAGTTACTTTGTTTATAGTTCTTTGTCAAATCTGCCAGGCAATTCACAAAAGTAGAACAATGTCTAATGTGAAGGTCTGAGGCAACCAACAGATAAGAAAAGATGCATAGTAAAGGGAATGGTCAAAATATAGAACACCTGAAATGCTTCCCCCTTCCTCCCCTTCCTTTGCAGTATTTTACATCCTTTTGTTACCTCTCAGGCTTGGTGTGGTCAGTCAGCTAAGTCTACATGGACAACTTAATAACAGTTATATTTTAAGAGAGTTTCTATGTGAAAGCCTTTGCAAACTGAGTCATAAAAGGGTGTAATATTTCTCCCATCTGCTCTTCCAGCTTTTTACCCCAAGAATCAGGTAAACTGCTCATATTTGCCTCAGCTTTTCAAACTCCGAAAATGAGAAGGAAGCTAGCCTGGATTTCTTGTATGCTAATAGAAGACTCTATCAGTATTATCCCTGGGACATCCCATTCTAGAGTGCTGGTAAACCGACTGCCAGTGCACTCATTACAGTGCAGGCAGAGTCCTTATTCTCTGCATTGCAGATGTTCTTGCAGTGAAGTTTGGTACTTGAACAATTGAAAAATCTTGCCTTTTAAATTTCTTGTGGTGATCCATCTCAAATGGCAGTGGCTTTCTTGTAGAGATCTTAAAAGTAATAAGAAGCCTAATTTAAGGGATGCAGTTTCATTTTATCCAGATAGACCTCTTGGTTTTCCTTTTATTGGACTTTAAATTATATGTAAAAATGCAGAAACTACGTATGCTACATATGTGCAAGTAATTTCTGTCAACTAAAAGATCGCTGGAACTGCTCAGTAGTGATGCTCAGATTTAGTAGAAAATACTGTGCTGTTTTTTGGGTTGAGGGTTGGGTTTCTGTTTGGTTTTTTTTTTAATTATTACTGTTTTTTAAATAGAAGAGAGAGCACAATTAAATAAGAATTATACTGAGGCTAATAGACGTGTCAATGCAGTCATGAATTAGGAAAAGGATATACTGTATATGCCAGAGAAAAAAAGTGTAGATCAAAGAAGAAGGGATAGGCAAGAGATGAGGGAAAGGCAAAATCAGATCTCAAAAAAATTCTGTGTTTCCAAAAAGATACAATAAGTGGCAAGAGAGATATCAGTGTAATCAGAAGC